GTCTCGCTCTGTCACCCAGGCTGGAGTCAGTGGTGTGATTCTGGCTCACTGCAAGCTCTGCCTTCCGGTTTCACACCATTCCCTTGCCTCAGCCTCCCGAGTAGCTGGGACTACAGGCATCCGCCACCACGCCCGGCTACTTTTTTGTATTTTTAGTAGAGACGGGGTTTCACCATATTAGCCAGGATGGTCTCGATCTCCTGACCTCATGAGCCTTGGCCTCCAAAGTGCTGGCATTACAGGTGTGAGCCACTGTGCCCAGCCTCTTAAAGCACTTTTAAAACTTAATTTACTTGTGCCGGGTGTGGTGGCTCACGCCTGTAATCCCAGCACTTCGGGAGGCCATGACGGCCAGATCACAAGGTCAGGAGATGGAGACCATCCTGGCTAACATGGTGAAACCCCGTCTCTACTAAAAATATTTTAAAAATTAGCTGGTTGTGTTGGTGGGTGCCTGTAGTCCCAGCTACTTGAGAAGCTGAGGCAGGAGAATTGTTTGAACCTAGGAGGTGGAGGTTGCAGTGAGCCAAGGTCGAGCCAATGCACTCCAGCCTGGGTAACAGAAGGAGACTCTGTCTAAAAACAAACAAACAAATTCATTTACTTGTTTCTTGTGTATTCCTCCACTTTTTCTTTTTCTTTTCTTTTCTTTTTTTGAGACAGAGTTTCACTCTGTCAACCAGGCTAGAGTGCAGTGGCATGATCTTGGCTCATTGCAACCTCCGCCTGCCAGGTTCAAGCGATTCTCCTGCCTCAGCCTTCCAAGTAGCTGGGATTACAGGCGCCCTCCACCAAACCCAGCTAATTTCTTTGTATTTTTAGTAGAGATGGGGTTTCACCATGTTGGCCAGGCTGATTTCGAACTCCTGACCTCAAGTGATCAACCTGCCTCAGCCTCCCAAAGTACTGGGATTACAGGCATGAACCACTGCACCTGGCCTCAACCTCTTTAATCATCAAGATGACTGCCTTGCTCCTCTTATTCTCTGCTTCTAGCTCAGTGCCTGGCACATGGTCAGTGCACAAGAACTGGTTGTTGAATTAATGAGCAAGGGTGATAGATTGGTTGACCTCTGGGGAAATAGCTAAGTATAAACCATATGACCACTTGGTGGGGGTGTTGTAGAAGGGATACAGACATCAGCACAGGCCCTTTAATGTGCTCAGCAGTGCTGATTCTTGGTCTTTCTCAGCACCGTGATTTCATAATACTATGTTTAATTCCCACAGTTGTGAAATAGGGAATGTGTTTCCCTTCTTAATCATCAAAAGGCAGAACATTGACCTGAATTGGCTTCTCCGCAGGTTTGTATTTCAAGGTCCCATTAAGTCATCCAAGAGAATAGTGAAGTTATATACTGGATTGTTACTGAGAATCATGATTTTGGAGTTAGAGAACGCTTCATTCAAATTTCATATTCATTCCACCTAGAAGCTATAAGATCTCGGACAAGTTACTTCTCTGAGTCTTGATTTCTTCATCCACTAAATGAAGATAGTAACACCTATGTAATTGTGTAGATGCGAAGATTAAACAAGACAGTGTATATCAAGCACATAGCACAGTGCTTGCCATTTCCTCACACAATTAATGGCAACCATTATTAACAAAGCTGCAGTACAAGAACTGTGGTGAAATGGGGGATACAGAACATAGAGCCGGCCGGGCGCGGTGGCTCAAGCCTGTAATCCCAGCACTTCTGGGGAGGCCAAGACGGGCGGATCACGGAGGTCAGGAGATCGAGACCATCCTGGCTAACACAGTGAAACCCCATCTCTACTAAAAAATACAAAAAACTAGCTGGGCGAGGTGGCGGGCGCCTGTAGTCCCAGCTACTCGGGAGGCTGAGGCAGGAGAATGGTGTAGGACCCGGGAGGCGGAGCTTGCAGTGAGCTGAGATCCGGCACTGCACTCCAGCCTGGGCGACAGAGCGAGACTCGTCTCCAAAAAAAAAAAAAAAAAAAAACATAGAGCCTTGGGTAGAAGAGATACAAATGAAGATAAATTTGTGTTTTAAAAAATTGTAATTTATCTAATTTTTTTTTTTTTTTTTTTTAAGATGGATCTCGCTCTGTAGCCCAGGCTGGAGTGCAGTGGTACATCTCGGCTCACTGCATTTCTAATTTCATATAAAAAGTTAATGGCCAGGCACGGTGGGCTCATGCCTGTAATCCAGCACTTCGGGAGGCCGAGGCAGGCGGATCAAAGGTCAGGAGTTGAGGACCAGCCTGACCAAAGCATGGGTGAAAATCCCGTCTCTACTAAAAATACGAAAATTAGCCAGGCGATGGTTGGCGAGCCTATAATCATAGTTACTCAGGGAGGGTGAAGGCAGAAGGAATCTCTTGAACCCGGGAGGCAGAGTTAAGTGAGCCAAGATCACGCCTCTGCATTCCAGCCCTTGCAACGAGGGCGCACTCCATTCTCAAAAAAATAGTAATAATAAATGGGGGGCTGGGCAGGGTGGCTCATGTCTATAATCCCGCAGCACTTTGGGAGGCTGAGACGAGTGAATTCACTCTGAGGTCAGGAGTTCAAGACCAGCCTGGCCAACATGGCGAAATCCCATCTCTACAAAAATACAAAATTAGCCGGGCATGGTGGTGTGTGCCTGTAATCCCAGCTACTTGAAAGCTGAGGTGGGAGAATTGCTTGAGTGGAGGCAGAGTTGCAGTGAGCCGAGATCGTGCCATTGCCTCTAGCCTGGGCGACAGAGCGAGGCTCCCGTCGTCAAAAAAAAAAAAAAATAGGGTCTCAGCTGGGCATAGTGGCTCACGTCTGTAATCCCAGTACTTTGGGAGGCCAAGGTGGGCCGATCCCTTGAGGTCAGGAGTTCGAGAACAGCCTGGCCAACATGGTGAAACCCCATCTGTACTAAAAACACAAAAATTAGCTGGATATGTTGGCACATGTCTGTAATCCCAGCTACTCGGGAGGCTGAGGCAGAAGACTTGGTTGAACCTGGGAGGTGGAGGTTGCAGATCACGCCACTGCACCAGGCTGGAGCCTGGCTGATGAGTGAGACTCTGTCTTAAAAAAATAACAAATAGGGCCGGGCGGCGGTGGCTCAAGCCTGTAATCCCAGCACTTTGGGAGGCGAGACGGGCGGATCACGAGGTCAGGAGATCGAGACCCAATCCTGGCTAACCGGTGAAAACCCGTCTCTACTAAAAATACAAACAAACAACTAAAAGCCCGGCGAGGTGGCGGGCGCCTGTAGTCCCAGCCTCCGGGAGGCTGAGGCCGGAGAATGGCGTGAACCCAGGAGGCGGAGCTTGCGGTGAGCTGAGATCCGGCCACGGCACTCCAACCTGGGCGGCAGAGCGAGACTCCGCCTCAAAAAAAACAAACAAACAAACAAACAAACAAACAAAAAATAACAATAAAGAATACATTTGTTATCCGGGATACACTTGTTATAACACTGCAGTGAATACCCTGCCAAAAAAAGGGGTCAGGGGAAGGTCTCACTATGTTGCCCAGGCTGCCCAGGCTGGTCTTGAACCCCTGGGCTCAAGCGAATCTCCTACCTTAGTCTCCCAAAGTGCTAGGATTACAGGCATGAGCCACCATGCTCAGCCCAGAGTTTTAAATAAATTTTAAAGTATGTTGTTATCAGCTTTATAGCCAGGTCTAACTCAGTACTAAATGTGTAGCAGAAAATCAGTAAATATTGAAGTAGATTACAAGATAATGTGAAGTTTTTTTTTTTTTTTTTGAGATGAAGTTTCACTCTTGTTCCCTTGGCTGGAGTGCAATGGCACAATCTCGGCTCCCCGAAACCTCCGTCTCCCAGGTCCAAGTGATTGTCCTGCCTCACCCTCCCGAGTAGCTGGACAGGCATGCGCCACCACACCTAGCTAATTTTTATTTTCAGTAGAGATGGGGTTTCTCCATGTTGGTCAGGCTGATCTTGAACTCTCGACCTCAGATGATCTGCCCGCCTTGGCCTCCCAAAGTGCTGGGATTACAGTCATGAGCCCCTGCACCGGGCTGATATGTGAAGCTTTTATTCACTGCTGCATCCCCAGTGTGTAGAAGAGTGTCTGGCATATGGGAGACACTTTAGCATTTGTTGACTGAATGTCGTTGTTACCACCCTGTTTGGTACTGCCTTGAGCTGGCCAGTGGAACCTGGTGTAACGAACCCTCCTCCCTCTTCTCTCTTTTCATTTGGCCCATTAGCCTGTCTCCTTCAGATGGAGCCCGTGAACTACGAACGAGTGAGAGAATATAGTCAGAAAGTCCTGGAACGACAGCCTGATAATGCCAAGGCCTTGTATCGGGCCGGAGTGGCCTTTTTCCATCTGCAGGACTATGACCAGGCCCGCCACTACCTCCTGGCTGCCGTCAATAGGCAGCCTAAAGGTAAGGGAGAAGGGCTTTGAAATGGTAAAGACAAAATTGTCTTGCTAGGGTGGATCTGTGGAAAGGGGATTTTATTTTACTTTGCCAGTGTATTATTTTCAATAAGTAATACATTCACATGGTTGAGAATTCAAACTGAAAAAGTATACGATGAACAGACCTTTTTCTACTCTTATGTTCTTGTCTCCACAGAAAAGCAGTATTATTGGTTTCATGTGTAGGGGGTTGATGCTTAATCAGGCACACACAATATATATGTCGGTATGTCAGTTTCATATATATATGTATGCCTATTTTAATATACATCAATGTGCTTTTATTTATAAGTACATATTTAGGCAGGCTGGGCGGGGTGGCTCACGTCTGTTATCTCAGCACTTGGGGAGGCCAAGGTAGGTGGATCACCTGAGGTCAGGAGTTCGAGACCAGCCTGACCAACATGGAGAAACCCCATCTCGACTAAAAATACAAAATTAGCTGGGTGTGGTGGCACACGCCTGTAATCCCAGCTACTTGGGAGGCTGAGGCAGGAGAATTGCTTGAACCCGGGAGGCAGATGTTGTGGTGAGCCGAGATCCTGGGCAACAAGAATGAGACTCTGTCTCAAAACAAACAAACAAACAAAAAAAACAGTCTTGTTTGTCGGGGCTGGGTACCGTGGTTTATGCCTGTAATCCTAGCACTTTGGGAGGCCAAGGCAGGCAGATCACCTGAGGTCAGGATTTCAAAACCAGCCTGGCCAACATGGCGAAACCCATCGCTACTTAAAAAAGTAAAATTAAATAAATAAATAAATAAATAAAAATACAAAAATTAGCCTGCATGGCCAGACGCAGTGCTCACACCTGTAATCCCAGCCCTTCGGGAGGCCGAGGCGGGCAAATCACGAGGTTAGATCGAGACTATCCTGGCTAACACGGTGAAACCCCATCTCTACTAAAAATACAAAAAATTAGCCGGGCGTGGTAGTGGGCGCCTATAGTCTCAGCTACTTGGGAGGCTGAGGCAGGAGAATGGTGTGAACCCGGGAAGCGGAGCTTGCAGTGAGCCGAGTTCCTGCCAGTGCACTCCAGCCTGGATGACAGAGGGAGACTCCATCTCAAAAAAAAAAAAAAAAAAAAACCAGTGTTGTTTTTCAAGTTCTGTTCCTGGTCTTTAAGAGTGATTGGACGCCAGGCGTGGTGGCTCACGCCTGTAATCCCAGCACTTTGGGACCCCGAGGTGGGCGGATAGTGTGAGGCCAGGAGTTCGAGACCATCCTGGCTAACATGATGAAACCCCGTCTCTAGTAAAAATACAAAAAATTAACCAGGCGTGGTGGCAGGTGCCTGTAGTCCCAGCTACTTGGGAGGCTGAGGCAGGAGAATGGCGTGAACCCAGAAGGCGGAGCTTGCAGTGAGCCGAGATAACACCACTGCACTCCAGCCTCCGGCGGTACCTCCCCTGTGGGTGACAGAGGGAGACTCCATCTCAAAAAACAAAAACAAAACACACACACACACACACAATAACAACAAAACCAGTGATTGGAATAGGATGTGTGAATGCCAACAAATCCACCACTTTTATCCGTTAGCTCAGCTAACCCCAGGTGTGACCTAGAAAAAGGGCAGTCCTGCTGAGAGAGAATTTGGGACTTTGTTTCCAAGGCAAAAAGGATATTGTGAAGCAGATGAGAGACTCATTCCTGTGTTGGTTGGTTGAGCACTGAAAATTGTCTCCTTTTTGCATTCTGGCTTACAATAGCCACAGGATACTAGTAGCAGAGTCCCCAAATGTATAGCAGTGCAGTAAAATCTCACTAATCTAAATGAATGAGAAAGGCATTAATTATGAATTAATAAAGATATAAAATATAAGCCATTTGTTCATGTTTCTCACCTTCAAGTACATAAATTAACCTGCCATCTTTACGAATAGTATCTTTAGAGGCTCTATTTTAATAATTGCTTCATCAGTCTTGCTTTTATTATGAAATTAGCAACTAGTGGCCAGGCGTGGTGACTCACACCTGTAATCCCAGCACTTTGGGAGGCCAGGGCAGGTGGATTACGAGGTTAGGAGTTCCAGACCAGCCTGGCCAACATGGTGAAACCCCGTCTCTACTAAAAATACAAAAGTTAGCCGGGTATGGTGGCACACATCTGTAGTCTCAGCTATTCGGGAGGCTGAGGCAGGAGAATCGCTTGAACCCAGAAGGTGGAGGTTGCAGTAAGTGGAGATCATGTTGCACTGCACTCCAGCCTGAGTGACAGAGTGAGACTCTGTCTCAAAAATAAATATAAATAAATAAATAAATTTAATAAATAAAAATTAACAACCAGTCCAGCCCGGGACACAGATTGTTTTTTTCAATTCCAAATGTTATTAATTAACTGAGATTTACTATTGTTTGCGATATATTCAGATCTTGGAGAGATTTAAAATGGGAGCATGGTTAATGTTGTTTCTTGCCACAAGGTATATTATGGTTTAAATCTGATCTGTTTCTAATTGCTTCTCCATCATCTTCCAAGATGCCAACGTCCGGCGTACCTCCAGCTGACACATGCAGAACTCAGCAGCTACCATAGAAAAGAAGCAGCTCCCGGAGTGGATGAATGGATGCCCCCAGTGAATAGGGGACATTAACATGCATGAGGAGAAACCTGACCCTCAGGCAAGATAAATAACCTATACCTCTGACCCAGGTGGATTTTTGTTTCCAGTTCTCCACAAACTTTACTACTTAGACAGTCTGGCTTTTTCTGTCCTATACCTGTTTATTCTATAGTGTTCAATACATGTTATTGTTGGGGATATTTGCCTTGAGAACATATAATCAGAAAATATTCATCAGCTGGTGGGTGGAATTAATCGTATCTCTGGCAAGACTTTTTCAATGACAGTGGTTGTTTTATATACAGAGGCGATGGCTTGCAAGAGGATGACATAGTAAGGATAGCAGAAAGAAGTGTCTTCCTTTATTTTTTCAGAAGCCTAAAGCAAAATGGGAAATATGGCCGGGCACTGTGGCTCATGCCTGTAATCCAGCACATTGGGAGGCCGAGGAAGGCAAATCACGAGTCAGCGAGATCGGAGAACATCCTAGCTAACACGGTGAAACCCATCTCTACTAAAATACAAAAAATAGCCGGGCATGTGGGCAGGCGCCTGTAGTCCCAGCTACCTCAGGAGGCTGAGGCAGGAGAATGGCATGAACCAGGAGGCGGAGCTTGCAGTGAGCTGAGATCGCACCATTGCACTCCAGCCTGGTGATAGAGCAAGACTCCCGTCTCAAAAAAAAAAAAAAAAAAAGCAAAAGATTAGCTGGACCTGGTGGTGTTCACCTGTAGCTCCTAGCTATTCTGGAGGCTGAGGTGGGAGGATTGCTTGAGTCTGGGAACAAAGTTGCAGGTGAGCCAAGATACTGACAGCACTCCAGCCTGGGCGACATGAGTGACATGTCTCAATAAATAGCCCAAATGTATTAAAGTAACTTTTGTTTTTTGAGACAGTCTACTCTGTCGCCCAGGCTGGAGTACAGTGCCATCCCGGCTCACTGCAGCCTCTGCCTGTTCCCAGGTTCAAGTGGAGTGCTCGTGTCTGAGCCACCCAAGCAGCTGGGATTACAGGCATGTGCCTCCATGCCCGGCTCATTTTTTTGTATTTCCTTTTTAGTAGAGACACAGTTTTGCCATGTTGGCCAGGCTGGTCTTGAACTCCTGGCCTCAAGTGATCGCCCGCCTCAGGCTCCCAAAATGCTGGGGATTACAGGTGTGAGCCACTATGCCCGGCCAAAGTAACCATTTTGTTTAACTAATTTTTTTTTCTTTTCATTTTTTTTTTTTTTGAGATTGGAGTTTCGCCGCTTGTTGCCCAGGCTGGAGTGCAGTGGCGCGATCTCGACTCACTGCAACCCCTGCCTCCCGGGTTCAAGCGTTCTCCTGCCTCAGCTGCCCAACGTAGCTGGGATGGATGACAAGCGGCCGCACCACGCTCAGCTCAAATTTTTGTATTTTTAGTAGAGATGGGGTTTCGCCATGTTGGCCAGGCTTGTGCCGAACTCCTGACCTCAGGTGATCCACCCGCCTCCCAAAGTGCTGGGATTATAGGCGTGAGCCACCCGCCTGGCTTTTCTTTTTCTTTTAATGTTAAGTTCCAGTAAGCAGAGATCGCATTCCACTGTACTCTAGTCTGGCAACAAGAGCAAAACTCCCATCTCAAAAAAAAAAAAAAGAAACAGTGAGTAAGGGCTTTTCTTGCTTAGTGCCTTTTAAGCACCTGATAGAACTCTCTGGAACTGTGTTGGACTTGGAGGCAGGTTGCAGTATGGTGCAGTCTGGCTCAGTAGGAGGTTCCATCAACCAGGAGCCCCTTTGTTATTTTTGTTTCTGTTTTTTCATGGTGGATAATGTCTATGATGTGGGCACCACATAGATGAGACTATGTAGCACGGCCTCTACGTTTATAAGTGGTGGCAATAA